GGCTGCCCCCCCCTCTGCCCCCCGGACTTGCCAAAAGCCTGAATTCTTTTTATTTTTTTAAATATATTTTTATTGATTTTGTACAGAGAGGGAGGGAGAGAGAGAGAGAGTTAGAAACATCGATGAGAGAGAGTCATCGATCAGCTGCCTCTTGCACACCCCCTACTGGGGATGTGCCCGCAACCGAGGTACATGCCCTTGGCCGGAATCGAACCCGGGACCCTTCAGTCCCCAAGCCGACGCTCTATCCATTGAGCCAAACCGGTCTCGGGAAAAGCCTGAATTCTTGGGCCCTCCCGAAACCCACTGGCTCAGGAGCTTTGGGCCAAGTGTTGGACAAGCCCTCCAGGGCTCAGGGTTGAGAATCACTGGGGCACCGGACAGCCTTTGGCTCGGGTCTGGACCGTAGGAGGAGCGGCGGGAAGCTCAGCGGAACTTGAACCCGAAGCCCACCTGCCGAGCTGGAAGTCAGGCACTTGTGAGCAGAGCGCCACCTGCTGGTCAGAGCCCCGCCGCGCAGGCACGCACAAGGCGCAGGCAGGGTCGCAGGGACCTAGGACAAGGGCCACATGGCAGCCGTGATCTTGCCCTGAAGGAACTTAAATAGTGCTCAACAATATCTGAATAAATATTAACATGTATTCACTCAACAAACACACGTTCAGTACCTCCTGGTGCTGGGGGCTGGGCTGGATGCTGGGGTTACTGCGATGAGTAAGACAGGCAGTCCCTGTGCTGTGGAATCACAGGCTGGGGAGGGAGGAGGGGAGCAAGTACCCCAAGGGGAAAGGACAGGGGGCCGCGGGAGCCTTTGGCAGGAGCTGATGTGGCCCAGGCGGGGAGGAAGGTCTGAGCCTGAAGACTGGGGGGCAGGTGGAGCGGAGGGGCAGAGGTGCAGAGGTGTGGAGGAGGAGGGTCTCTGAGCAGAGCAGGAGAGGTGTGTGTGTGTGGGGGGGGGGAGAGGGCGCGGGCTCTCTGATCTGAGCGAGGCCTTAGGAGGGAGGCAGAGGGGGCAGAAGTGGTCTGGGCACAAGTCTTTGGGGATAGCGGGGCCTCACCATGAAGTGAGGAGGAGAGGGGTGGGGGGAGAGCAGTGCCTTTGGGAGAGGCTGGGTTTGAGGGGCTGGTCAGGCACCCACAGGGGAATGGCCGGAGGCACTCCCCAGGCGGAATGTGCAGCTGGGGTGCAGTGAGGATTGGGTGGAACAGTCTTCAGAAGAAACCACAGAGAAGGAAGAGGGAGACGGGGACGGGTGCCCAGACCCCTGGGTGGAGCGGGGAGCCGGCTGGAAGGCAGAGGGGATCCGAGAACAATTCTCCAGGAGGGGCAGGAGGCCTGTGGAGCTGTACCTGCGGGAGCTTTCAGAATGCACGGCCTGTGTCCGCCCGTTTCTCTGGCCGCACTCTCTCCCTTCCCGGGGCTCCGAGGGGGCAGCCCGGCTCTCAGCCTGGTGTCAGGGGCCACCCGTCCCGGCCAGCTGCCTAAGGATGGACGCCAGCCCCGCCTCTGAGCTGCAGAGATGAAAGTGGCCACAGGCGGCTGGGGCGGGGCGAGCAGGCAGGGGCAGGCCTGCCGCCAGCTTCCCACTAGAGCTGAGGCTCAGCTCACCCGAGTGAGGGGAGGCCTCTCTGCTTACGAAAGGGGGGCCCGGGAAGCTGTGCTCCTGTCCGAGAACAGGGCCTTCACACATGGCTGACTGTGGCCCCGGCTTCCCGCACAGCCTGCCCCCCACCCTCCGTCCCTGCTTTGGGCGAGGCCGGGCCACACCCAGAGGGCAGTGAGGAGGCCCCGGAACCAAGGTGTGGCCACCTGATCCAGGCTGCACATCCTGCACCTGCCACCCTCATTAACCTTGTTGATTGGCTTACCCTCCTCCTTCTCCTCCTCCTCTGAGCTGCATTCTCCTCACCCCCACTCTGACAGGAAGCTATGAAATGTGGGGGGAGGGCTGGTGGGGAAGGATGCGGTGGTCAGGAGGGCTATTCTGCACAGTTCACGTCTCTCCTGGAGCCTTAACTTTCTCACCAGCAACATGGAATGAGGGCACACAAGCCCAGCACGTTTTAGAGGATGGGCATGAACAAACTCCAGAATGAGTGAGTCAGCTTTCCAAACTGCTGGGGTAGGTACTGGGGGCTACAACCGCTGTGACATCAGTCTCCACGTGCTGCCCCCAGAGCCGTTTGGGGAAGATCTGTGGAGCGCCTGAATTATGTGCAAAATGCATGTGAGGCGTCTTTCTGGGAGGGCTCCACAGCTCTTAGAGAGGTCTGGGATCCCACACAGGGTCTCAGACACCTTTGAGGTGAGCCAGCCGAGACCCCGAGCCAGCCCAGGGCCCCTGGACCCCCACCCCCCACTCCTCCCTGCGGCCCCTCCAGTCAGGTGAGGGGAAGGAAGAGTGTGAGCAGACAGACGGGGAGCCCCGAGTCCTCACGCTGTTACCAGGATAAGGACATCCCAGTGGAGGGTGGGGGCGGCAGGATGGGAGAATGAGGAAGCTTTAGGATTTGGGGGAGGGTAAGGGGGGAGGTCAGGCCTAGGAAAAGCTTCCTGGGAGCTAAGTCAATGAGGCATCTTCCCAGTTTCCGTTTCCCATCACCCCCCTCTCCCCCCGCTTCCCAGAAAAGGGCTCCGAGGAGGAGAGACAACCCTCCCTGACACCATCTCAGGGGACTCTCCGGTTCCCGTTGCCACTTTGGAAAGGCTGAAGATGCTGCGTCGGAGCTTCCTGGGAGAGGGAAAGGCCACACACACGCCTGAAGCAGTCATATCCCGAAGATGCAGTTTATTGAGCAGCTACCATGTGTCAGGCCGGTGCTGGAGGCTCTGCCTAACTTGGCATAAATGTCGCCACTTTCCAGGCCTCCTCCGACCCCCCGGGTCAGACTAAATCCACCCGCTCCCTCGCCTTCCGGTTACTCTCACCTTCCCTGCTCCTTCCTGTGCCTGCTCCCTCCATCCCTCTCCCCTCCACTCGGCTACAACCTGGCCATGGGCAGGAGTCAGTGCACTGACCACTGTACCCCCACGCGAGGCACAGGGCCCGCCCCCTGGTGGCCACTCAAGTACTTGTCTCATGAACTCAGGCCTGTCTCAGTCTTCACAGCAGCCTTATGAGGTAGGAATCACGGCCATGCCTGGTGCACGCCTCAGAGAGCCAGAGACTGGCTGAAGGACACGGGTGGTTCCCGCCAGACTTCAGCTCTGCTCCGCTCCCTGAGGGGTTTGTAGAACAAGAGAACCCAAGGGTCAGAGAGAAGGTTTGGGTCCAGCGGAATGGCCCCCGGTCAGGTCAGCCCCCACCCCGTGCTCAGCCTTCCCCTCCGAGCTCTCCCAGCCTCTCCCCGCGCCCCGCAGCTCCGAGTCCCCAGTCTGCAGCCACCGAGCTGGCGGCCCGGCCTAGCCGGCCTGCGTATTCCTCAGGCCACGTGAGAGTCTGTCCTTCCCTCCCCCCCCCACCCAGAGCAAGCTGGGAGCCCACGCCCCACCCCTCCAGCCTTAACACCGCAGATAAATTAGGGGCTCTTTTATAAACATGTACAGGGGAAATACATACATACGTACATACATACACACACAGAGCCAGTGACAGCGCTGGGGTGGGGTTCACTTCTTGAACGCAAGCGCCTGCCCCGTTAGGGTGCCTGCCCTCTCCCTGAAGTGGCTCACTGCTGTCCCCCAGCAGCGGGCACCTCGGCAGGTCCCCACAAACCAGAGGTCCACCATCTTGCCCCAAAGGGAAACGCTTCCTTGCTGCCCCCTCCAGGTTTGCCCCTCTGAGGTGGGCCCCTCCCTCCTCACCAGGCAGCCTGCCTCGGCCTGGTCCCAGGAATTTGGCCCCCCAAGCCCTGAAGGCAGGGAAGACGGACCGAGGACATGTCCTCCACACCAGGAGTCTGTGAGAGCGGAAAGAAGGGGGGCTGATTCACCGGAAACCAGGCATACGCCAGGGCTGCTCCGGGGAAGGAGGCATGGCCACCCTACCGATGGGCCCCTGCTCTGGACTGGCCCAGCCCACCACTCCTGACTTTCCGAAACATGCGTGTAGGCAACGATCTCTCAGCTCACATCTCCCTCCTCTGCCACCCTCCGCTCTCCAAGGCCTCACAGCATCGTGGCGACACCTGTGAAGGCCTCGGTAACACTGGGGACCCGTAGTACCGGGCTGGGAGGAGCTGGGAATGATGCCCCTCCAAACCCCAGGCAGGACTGCGGTGCTGAGCCCCGGCCTTCTGGCTCCTGGAGCCCAATCTCCAAATCCCGGCTGCCTGGGTCCAAGTAGAAAAGCCAGCCTCATCCTCTGTCTCCCACCCCGAACTCGCCAAGGCTCCTTCCTGTCGGACTCCCTGTAGCTAACGGCCAGGCCAGGGAGAGACGAACCATCAGTTCCCATGACCCTGCCCTGGGCCGATCGCTGCAAAGCACTGCCTGGTGCCGGCTCCACTTGCTGTGTAGGCACATTCCAGTCCCACCTTCTATGCTACGGCCCCCAGGACTCAGCTCTTGGGGTGGCAACGGATGGAGGCTGGAGAGAGCAGCCTGTGGTCCCCTGGACCCACCCCACCCCCCACCAAGCCCTTCATGAGGGCCTGGCAGGCAATCACAGCCACCCCAGGCCCCGGTCCCGCTCAGGTTTCACGCCCCGCCCCTTGTTTTTAGAACCTGCTCAGTAGGCCGTGCTTGTAAAACTGCTTTAAACGAGCCTACCCAAGGCAGATAGTACCAGATAGCAGACCAGGCTCCAGGCCCTGGGAGCCACCTCCTCTCCTCTCTCCTGCCCTCCCCCCATCGCGGGCAGTCCACAGCTCACTGGGAAACAGAAGCCCACTCGGATCTTCTCCAGCCACTGCTTCTTGCTGGCTGTCCGTCTCTCTGTCTTGTCCATCTCTGTCTTCTGGGAGCAAAGGCTCCTCTCTGTGTCTGAGTCTGGCCGCGTCCCTCCCACCCCCGAAAACCAGTGCCCAGATCTCCCAGGAGGAGAGCTGCCAGGCCCGGCTCAGGACAGGGCATTCCGATGGGCCCCTGAGTAGGCGTAGGAGATGGGATGGCGGGTTCCTGGCCTCACAGTGAACGTGTTGACGGGGCTTCCATAGCGGGGAGACCTGGTGGGGAGCAGGAGAAAGGAGGTGAGTCTCTGCGGCTGGTTAGCCAATAGCCCCCTTTCCCCCAGGGCATAGAGGAACAGATGCCGCTCAGCGCCCTGGTTTCTGCCCCTCGAGCCCTGGGCTTGATCAACCCAGGCCTCCCCCTCCAGGCCAGGCCCCGGTGGCCACAGAGCACTACCCAATCCTTCTCCTCAGAACCCGTGGCTCCTAGCCTGGCTCCGGGTCTTCTGTGTGGAGGGGAAATCGGCTCCCAAGGACCACTCCGACCTCCCTCCACCCCATACTCTGCCTGAAGCCCTGGGACTCCATCTCACCCTTAGCCTGAAGCTCTGGGACAAACGGGGCTGGGGAGGGGATGTAGAGAGGGGGAAGAGGGCGAGGGAAGTGGGGGAAGCAGGAGGATGGGAAAAGAGAGAACAGGGGAGATCAAGGGAGGTGAGGAAGCAGGTGAGGGGAGCGCCCTCTGCAGGTAAAGTGAGCCTCCCTCCCCTTTCTCTGGGCCCCGAAAGCCAGAGGGTAGAACACCAGATGTGCCCCAGACAGATGGCCGGCCAAGGCCTGGTCCACAGGCCTCCCCCTCACCTGGCTGCCCCCTGGCGCTCCCTCCATCGTCCTCTATCGCCCTCCATCGCCCTCTATCACCTTCCATCATCCTCCACCCCCCCCCCCCATCGTCCCGGCCCCAGCTCACCTGCCCGCAGCAGCGGCGAGAACCAGGTCGCCGGCGCTGGGCGCCGCCGGGCCGGCCGCCTTGAACTTGGCCTCCCCGCGGGCGGAGCCCTCCAGCGACATCCTCCGCGCGCGCAGGCCGCCAGGGGGCGCGCGGCCCGCCGAGTTGACGCGCCGCATCTCGGGGCCTCCGGGCGCCCCGAAGTGCCCCCCGGGCTGCGGCCCGAAGCAGTTGGGGGAGCTCAGGCTGCGACCCGAGCCGCCGCGGGACGGCGCGGGGCCGCGGGGGGGCTCCCCGACATACAGGCGCTTCTTGATGAGCGAGCGGCCGCCGCCCGAGAAGCGCTGCAGGCCCCCGGCCCCCGGGGAGGGCTCGCCCGCCGCCGCCGCCGCGGGGAAGCGAGCGTCCAGGGGCCGCCCCGAGTCCGGGAACCGGCTCCGGGGCGGGGAGGCCCGGCGGCCCGGGTTCGGGAGGGCTCGAGGCTGAGGTTCGGGGTCGTTGCTGAACTCGGGCGGCGGCGGGATGACCTCGAAGCTGAACTCGCCCTCCTCCTCCCGCTGGCGGGAAGGGGAGGACGGGGACGAGAAGGACCTGGGCGGCGGGCGGCCCTGGGGGAGGCGGGAGGATGCTGATCGGTCCCAGGCCTGGGGCTCCGCCTTGGTCCAGCCGTGCCCTCGGCCAGGCTCCGTGTCCTCCAGGCCTCTGCCCGGCTGGGCCCTCCACGGGCGGGGCTGGGGCTCCCTCTCGGGCTCCGAGGGCGGCCTGGGGACCACGGTGAAGGAGTTGGGCTGGGGCCCCCGGAGGAAGATGCTGTCGGAGCCCGCCTGGGGCTGCCCTCGGAGGCTCCCGGGCAGGGAGGTGCGGCCCGGGCCGGCCCCTCGAGCCCGCCCCTTCTGTGCCCTCTGCCTGGCCGCGAGGAGCAGGGCCATCGGGGACCCCTTCTCCACCAGCTCCCCGGTCACCGGGTGCCTGAGGGGCTCCTCTGCAGGCGGGGCGGGGGCCGGGGCTTTGCCTGGCAGCCCTCGGGGCTCCCCCACCTCCACAGCCCCTCCTCGGGCCACGGTGGGCATCACCACGGCCACCTCGCGGCTGGGGCTGCTCTGGCTGCCGCTGTGGCCGCGATGGGGTTTGTAGAGACAGGTCACCTCTCCCCTCCCCGGGGACAGCTTTGGTGGGAGGGCCGGAGGGGAGAGGGCTCCCTGGGAGGGAGGCTTCCTGGCCTCGGAGGGGCGCCCTTCTCCTGCCTCCGGCTGGGAAGGCGCTGCACATCCGTGGGGTTCTGGCTTCTTCCTCTGCTCGGCGGGGACCGGTTTCCTCTCTGTCACCGGGAATGGTGTGGCGGGCAGGGCTGTGGCTGTGGCTGGCGTGGCTGGCCCGCTCGTGGCTGCATCAGGTGTGGCCTTGGGTGGCGTGGCCGGCCCGGGCGCGGCCGTGGGCTGGTGCGGTGCGGCCGGCGGGGCGGCGGCGGGGAGGGGCGGCCCGTTCTTGGCCGTGGGCTTGGAGATCTGGCCGTGGGCGGCTCTGTGTTCAAAGACTCTCCCCGCTTCCGGGCGAGGCTTGGGAGGCAGAGACCCCGCGCCGGGCTGGGGCTCCCTCTCGGCGGATGCGGACAGCCGCGCCTCCAGCTCGCTCCGGATCTGCTGGACGCTGAGCGCCGGGGAGTCCCCGGGGGTGTAGTCTGCGGGGGGCAGGGGCAGGCTGGCGGGGGCCTCTCTTTCCGGGCAGGGACTCTTCTGGGGGTCCCCGGGGGGGCCCTCCTTCTCCGGCAGGCCGGGGCCCTTCCGGCCCTCCTTGGCCGGAGGGGCTGCCGCTGGGCCCGGCCGGTGGGCTGGGCCTCGGTCCTCTCTCTTGGAGCCGAAGAGGTAGGCTGCCAGCTCGCTCCGCAGCTTCGCCATCTGGGCGGGGTCCCGCCAGTCCACGGGCTCTGAAGGGGCTGTGTCCTCCGGGCTGGGGGGGTTGGGTTTGGGTTTGGGAGCAGGAGAGCTGGGTTTGGGGCTTTGCATAAACCTAGCCGGTGGAGGGGTTGCCTTCTCGGCAGAAGGCAAAGGAGGGGCCGGCGGGGGGAGCGGGGGTGCGGGGGGAGGGAGCGGGGGTGCGGGGGGAGGGAGCGGGGGTGCAGGGGGAGGGAGCTGGGGTGTGGGGCGGGGCAGGGGAGAGGCTGGGGGTGGGGTCTCAGCGTGTCCACTGGTCCTGGCCTGGGGCTGGCTCGGCCCGGGGCTGGCAGGGGCCTTGGCCCGCAGCTCCCCGGGGCGGTCTGGTTCGGGGGCCCTATCCGGGTAGACCTGGGAGGCGGGGCGGATGTGGAAGCTGGGGGGCAGGGGCATCCGACTGGGGGCCTTCGGGGCGGCCCCTTCTCCGTCTGCAGGAGCCCCGTGTGCCTCCTGCACTGGGATGGACGAGGTCCTGACCGGGGTTGGGGGAGGCACCTTGAATGACCGGGGGAAGGTGAGGTGGGACTCCGGCTTAGGCCCCAGGGGGCTCCCCTTGGGCTCAGCAGGGCTCCTGGGGGGGCTGGTCCCGGGGGCCTCTGGCTGCTTGCCATTCAGCGTGACCTCTGATTTCCATTTGGTGACCCCCGCAGGGGGGGAGAGGTGAGTCCTCGGAGTGTGAGGGGACACTGGGGCTGGGGGTGCCGGGGCCGGCATAGGGGGCGGGGGTGGGGCTACAAAGGCCAAGGGCGGGGCGGGGGGAATGAAATCGGGAGGGGTGGGTGTGGTGGGGGGGGACAGGGCCCCTGATACTGGGGGTGGGGGAGGGGCCATGCTGGGTGGCGGTGGGGGCTCCACCAGCAGGGCAGGTGGCAAGGGAGGCGGCGGGGTCGGTAGGGACTGCCCCGGAGGTGGTGACGTGTCCGGGGCAGGTCCCGGAGGCGGCCTTGGGGCGGGGCCGGGGGGAGGTGGGGGGATGGGTGGGTCCTCGCCATAGTGCACAGGCCTGAGGTCGCCCACAGAGCTGTACAGTCGGAGGTTGCCATTGGCTAGTGAGCTGGCACCTGGAAGGAGGGAGAGACAGAGAAGAGGAGGCGTGAGGCCTGCTGGCTCTGGCAATCTCTGTGTGCCCAGGGCACGTGGTGGGCGTCCCAGGGGTCACTGGCCAGGGCCATGCCTTCCTTCCTGAGCACCGAGTGAGGGAGCGGCAGTGACCCCCGAGCTGCCCTGGGAGTGGCCCTGTCCCCTGGAGGGCAGGACGCCTGCCGGCCCCCGGCCCGGCCTCTGGACTGTGCCGCACACCCTGTTTGCTCTGGGGAGTCATATTCCGCTCTTCTCGCCCTGCTCACACTCTGGTACCTCACCCCTTTACTGAACTCTCTTCCGTTACCCACTTTGAGGGCACCATCTATTTTTAAAAATATATATTTTATTGATTTTTACAGAGAGGAAGGGAGAGGGATAGAAAGTCATAAACATGAATGGGAGAGAAACATCGATCAGCTGCCTCCTGCACACCTCCTACTGGGGATGTGCCCGCAACCAAGGTACATGCCCTTGACTGGAATCGAACGCGGGACCCTTCAGTCCGCAGGCCAATGTTCTATCCACTGAGCCAAACCAGTTAGGGCCACCATCTATTTCTTACAAAACCAGAAAGACCAGGGTTCAGATCCAGTCCTACACTAATTAACCTTGCTGAACCTCAGTTTTATTCTCTCTAAAATGGCACAATATCAGTGCTTACCCTAGCGGTTGTGAGGATTAAATAAGGTAATTCACGTAAATCCATATAAAGGGCCTATCATGGTGCTGTGCCTGTCGTAGGCATTTACAAATGAATAGTAACCACTTTGATTACTACGCCCATGCTCAGCGTTTCAGGCTGTGCCAGACAGACAGGGGAAGTAAGAGAGAGGAAGTCATGGATCAGGGGCAGGACCTGGAGACCCCTCAGTGAGGAAGTTTAGGTGAAAGTTTAAGAGGGAACAATTCATATGAGCAACTCCTCTTTCTAAAGACCCTGAATCTGCCCAGAGCCCAGCTGTCCACCTCACAGAACTTCTAGAACACGCTCTGGCCTGTGGGGTGCAATGGAGGTGTGTAGAGAGAAGGGGACCACGACAATCTGTCACCAAAGAGAAGCGGAGTGCCCTGGGCCAGCGGCTCACACTCTGCCATTCTTAAAGCCCCTCCCAGCTCCTTAAAGTCTGCACAGCCGGGATCCCAGGCTGCTTCTCTGCTAGGGGCACCCCTTCCCCTCCGCCCCTCCTCTTTGCTTCTAGCACAGAGCACAACAAACCTGGGGAATGTCAGCTCTGAAGGGCTCCCCCAGCTATCTGACTTCATAACAAAGAACAGAGGAGAGCCCGGCCAGTGTGGCTCAGTGGTTGAGCATCGGCCTATGGACCAGGAGGTCACAGTTCGATTCCCATCAGGGCATGTGCCCAGTTTGCAGGCTTGATTCCCCAGTAGGGGGCATGCAGGAGGCAGCTGATCAATGATTCTCATCATTGATGTTTCTCTCTCTCTCCCCTCCTCTCTAAAATCAATAAAAATACATTCAAACAAACACACACACACACACACACACAAAAACAAAAAACAAAACAAACCAACAACAACAACAACAAGAAAACAAAACAAAATACCCAGAAGAGAGTAGGAAAGGGAAAACTAACATTCATTGACATCCTAACATCCCAAGTGGTAGGAGCTGAGATACAGCAGTAAACAAACAAACAAAGCTTAGTCAAGTCTGGCTGGCGTGCCTCAGTGGTGGAGCATCGACTTATGAACCAGGAGGTCACAGATCAATTTCCGATCAGGGCACATGCCTGGTTTTCGGGCTCAATCCCCAGTCCGGGGCATGCAGGAGGCAGCCAATCAATGATTCTCTATCGTCATTGATGTTTCTATCTCTCTCTCCCTTCCTCTCTGAAATCAATAAAAATACATTAAGAAACAAACAAACAAAACAACTTGGTCAAAATCCTAGCCCTCCTGGGCCTTATGTTTAAATGGGACAATGAGACAGACCATTAGTAAGTTATGACCACATTAGGTGGTAACATGAGGGGGACACCCGGAAGGGGTGCTAAAGGTGCGGTCTGAATAGGTGATCAGAGATGGTGTCTCTGAGGAGGTGCCGTTCGAGCACAGAGGGCAGGCCTGGGGGAGGGAGCTGCCGGAGGCCCAGAGGGGACAGTCTGGGCAGAGGACGTGCAGTGTAAAGACTCTGGGCGGAGACGTGCCTGGGCACTGAGGGAGGCAAGGAGAGTAGTGGAGGAGGATGAGCCAGGAATAGGCAGGGAGGCCTGGTGAGGCCGGGTTCTGCCAGTCCCGACGAGAACCTTCCCTCTGAGTGGCATGGAAAGTCGCTGGAGATTGTGAGCAAGAGGTATGGCAACAAGTGACTTACATCCCATCCGGGACTTCATTACTCCGCCAGCGCTGGGACTGTTTCCCAGGGCGCGTGGGAGGGACAGGTGTCAGGGGTTAAGTGATTTGCCCAAGGGAGCAAAGCCAATGTGCAGGGGTCCTGGCATTCAGAGCCAGGTCTGTCTGACTCCACGGTTCTTGCTCCCACTTCAAGCTGCCCTTCCTGCTGTTCTGGCCATCCCCTCCCCTCTGGAAGTACACCTTACCCAGCCCTGGCCTCCTCAACCCCCACCCTCTGCAGCTGGGGAGGTGGGCCAGACACCTGGGCCTAAAGAGGAAAGAAAGACGGATAAGGCCCAAGCCCAGGATTCTCTTACCTGTCACTTCCTTGTCCGCAAAGTCTTCTGGGACAGAGGGGGTGGGCACTGCCAGGCCATGGTTCTCCTGGGCATTCTGAAAGAGAGCGGAGAGATCAGGAACGGGGAGGCAGAGGGGTCATCCTTACCCACGGCTGGGTGAGGGCACGCACGTACTGCTGTGAGGGTGACGGGCACAGCCTCCGGGTACACTAACGTATACAGGGCTCATTCCAAAAGCGGAATGCTATGATACAGAGAATTCTGTTATTCACACCAATTGTGGTCTGTAAAGCTGCCTCAAGGAAAATGCAAGGTTAGGTTCCTGCAAACCTTGGCTACAGAGTTTTTATCAATGGATCAATACATAATCTTGCTCTAGATGGTTTGGCTCAGTGGATAGAGCCTCGGCCTGCAGACCGAAGGGTCCTAGGTTCGATTCCGATCAAGGGCACATGCCCAGGTTGCTGGCTCGATCCCCAGTAGGGGGCGTGCAGGAGGAAGCCGACCAATGATTCTCTCTCATCATTGATGTTTCTAACTCTCTCTCCCTCTCCCTTACTCTCTGAAATAATATATATCCGTATATATGTTTAAAAATACATAACCTTGCTTTATGTGTATTTCTGTTTAAAGACACCTTGTTTTAATATACACTGTTGGCTCACTGACATTGACCTCATGGCCGATACTATAATATAACTCACGATTGAGCGAAGCTGATCTCACACACGTATTTTCTCTCCCGGGTACGTCACAGCCTTCCTGCCCTGAGGGGCCTTAGCATTTCAGCACTACGCTTGGGGCCATGGGAAACAGTGAGATCACCCACAAAAGGCACAAAAATGCAAAAAAGCAGGGCACTAAACAACACGAGGCCTGAACAAGAAGCAGAGCGTCCTCTTGTTCCACCTCGGCTGGGAATGTGTGCATCAGGGGGCTGAAGTTTTTACCCTTCTCTCTCTACACATGACTGAAGCATCTCATGGACTTTGGTGTAGCAAATACCTTTTAGTGGGTAGATGAGTTTCCAAATATCAAGCCCATAAATGATGAGAATTAACTGTGTATGAATTATGTCAATGAAAAGGAGACAAAACAGAACATCCGGGGGATGTCCCTAAGTTCAAAGCCGAACCCCAAGGCCCAGCCTGCTGCTCACTAGTTCTCATCGGGAGCTACAGGAAAGCAAATGAGGGGAAAGAGGCGCAGGAGCTCTGACACCCTGCGATGCCCTTCTCGTCCCTCTGCTTCGCAGGCGATGTGTTTGCACAGCTGGCGGGTTTGTACATACTGTTTTGCATTCCATTTTTCTCTCCAAACACACATTTCCATATGTCAACAAAGCCTCACACCTGCCCTTTGAAGAGCAGAGAGCATTTTACGGCAGCTTTGTGGGTCCCCAACAACCTGGCCCCTCACTTCCCCGCCAGCTTTTATTTCCCACTCACCTGTCACACCCACCGACTGACCGACCCATCCCTCCCAACCATCCTTCCAACCCAGAAGCCCCCGGGCCTGATGTTGGTCAGGCTGTGACCCTCTTCTCCTCCGTTTCTAACAGTAATACCCCTTGCACTGTGCTCTAAACACGAGGTCCCAGTCACTTCAGCTACTCCCTCATGGGCTGATGCCGCTAACCCTCTGGGCAGACTGTATAAGAAGGGTGTTTCAGAAATAGCTACAAGGTCCTGGGTTACGAAGGGTCATCCCTAATCACTCTTTGGTCTTTTGGGGGCAACAAACACCTTCTTATTCTTTCTTTTTTTATTTTTTAATATATTTTATTGATTGATTTTACACAGAGAGGGATAGAGAATTAGAAACGTCAATGAGAGAGAAACATCGACCAGCTGCTGCTTGCACTCCCTCCCCCCCACTGAGGATGTGCCCACAACCAAGGTACGTGCCCTTGACCGGAATCGAACTCGGGATCTTTCGGTCCGCAAGCGGACGCTCTATCCACTGAGCCAAACCGGTTTCGGCAACACCTTCTTATTCTTAACAAATTCTGTGGCTAGAACGGCCTGAAGCCATCATCTCCTTCTGCCTCCACTGATGCCCACGGCCCCCACACACCTGCTCTCAACATCTCTCCACCCCAGTGATTCTGACAGGGGCAGCCGGTCTGTGCACACTCACATGCACACACACACACACACACACACACACACCACCGATGTCTAATCGCATCCTCAAACATGCACACTCCCATTTTGAAGAGATGGCCTGATTTCTCTTTTGAACATCACTGGTCTCTGATTCCTCTTTTGAACATCACTGGAAAGTAGAAAGACTTGGGGACCTAGCACAAAATGCATACTTTGGCCCTCGACAGTTTGGTTCAGTGGCTAGAGCATTGGCCTGCAGACTGGAGGGTCCTGGGCTCGATTTTGGTCAAGGGCCCGTACCGAGGTTGCAGGCTCGACCCTGGTGCAAGTAAGGACACATGCGGGGGGCAACCGATCGATGTGTCTCTCACATCGCTGTTTCTTTCTCTGTCTCCCCCCTTCCCCTTTCTCTGAAAAATCAATGGGAAAATATCCTCATCCTTGAGTGAGGAGTAACCACAACAAGAAGAAAACCCATGCTTTGAATTTTGCCCGCAGGGCGATGTCCCATGAGCTGTGGCGAGGAGGGGTGGAGACGGCGATGTTAAACTCACTTCTGCACCTGCTGTGTGCCGGCACCATCCTGAGCGCTTTACCCATGTCACCTCAGCTCCCTTACCAGGCCAGGCTGCAAACCCAGGCCTCCCAACATCCCTTCGCTACAAATCTCCGAGAGCCATTCTCCTCACTCACCAAATTCTCAGGGCTGCTCTGAGAACCAAATGGGATACTATTCCTAAGCCAGGAGATCGGTGATAGGTGGAGGTTATGTCACCGGCCCTCCCCCCACAAGGTGAAAACACCGAACAGGCTAGGCTGCCCGCAGTCCGGGAAGTGCCCGGGCACCGAGTGCGGAAGTACAATCACGTCTGGAGGAGGAGGAAGAGGAGGAGGGGGAGGAGGAGGAGGAGAAAGAGGAGGAGAAGGAGGACTGCGGATTTATGGGCTGGAGGTGACACTGCTCACCCAGCTTTGATCCTAAGACTCTGGAAGCTCAGGACGCCCAACACCACGTGGCCTGGGAGCAGCAGCCCGGCAGAACCAGGCTTTGCCAGGCCCCCGCATACAGGGGTCCCAGGACGTACCCACTCCCACCGCCGGGCTTTGGGTGGGGGCAGGTCCCAAAGTCCAGCCGCCTCCTTCCAGGAGCCCCAGGACTGAACTGAACATAGCACACACCACACACACACACACACACACACACACACACACACACACACACACACACCTCCACGCCCCTGCTAGCCCTGCCCGATCACACTTGCGCCCCATGGGCTCTCGTGGCTAATTTTTGCTGTCCTACGTCCGCTCTGTGTATTCAGAGAAGAAAACACAAACTCATTGTAAAATCAGTCCTAGAAACCAGACCCAGAGGTGCCCTCCCTCAGCTCGCCACAGGGCGGGCAGCTGGCACTGAGCGTGCTGCGCGATGGCGACCCGTTTCCTCGGGCAGAGGCCTGGGCGCTGGAACTCCTGACCTGCCTCCCGGCCTCAGAGAACGGAGGAGAGAAGGGGACTTGGAGGTGACGGCCAGAGGCAATGCATGGAGGACATCAATGGGACTCAGAGTAACTAAATGTGTCTGAAGGTGTATCCGCTAACAGCATCACATCATCATCCAACTCCTGGATGTGCGCGTAGTGCAGACGTCTCTGTTCTTCAGTAGCGCCCTCTGAAGCATTTAAGAGTTAAAGGGGTGTGATGTCTCGACTTAATGGCTCAATGGAAGAAGCAGTGTGTGCTGTGCATGTCACGTGAGGGAGGGAGCCAGTGGAGCTATTCCTGAAACTTGTCTCGCCTTAGGATTGGTTAGAGAGAAAAAGTTACCGAAAGCCACAGAATTGTACATTTAAAAGTGATTAAAATAGTATTATGCTATGTGTATCTTACAATTTCTTAAGTATATATATTTTTAAATATATTTTATTGATTTTGTACAGAGAGGAAGGGAGAGAGATAGAGAGTTAGAAACATCGATGAGAGTCATCGATCAGCTGCCTCTTGCACACCCCCTACTGGGGATATGCCCGCAACCAAGGTACATGCCCTTGACCGGAATCGAACCTGGGACCTTTTAGTCTCCAAGCCGACGCTCTATCCATTGAGCCAAACCGGTTTCGGCTTAAGTATATTTTTTATTGATTTTTTACAGAGAGGAAAGGAGAGGGATAGAGAGCCAGAAACATCGATGAGAGAGAGTCATCAACCAGCTGCCTCCTGCACACCCCCACTGGGGATGTGCCCTCAACCAAGGTACATGCCCTTGACTGGAATTGAACTTGGGACCCTTCAGTCCACAGGCTGATCCTCTATCCACTGAGCCAAACCGGTTTTGGCTGTATCTTACAATTTTTAAAGGGTATTTTTTTTTATTGATTTTTAGAAAGAGGAAGGGAGAGGGAGAAACATTGATGTGAGAGTGAAACACCAATCAGCTGCCTCCTGCACCCTGCCTACTGGGGATCGAGCCTGAAACCCAGGCATGTGCCCTGACCAGGAATCGAACTGGCAACCTTTCGGTGCAAGAGATGGCGCCCAACCAACTGAACAACACCGGCCAAGGCTGTATCTTACAATTTTAAAAAGTTAAACAAAAACAATGACAAGAATATAGAAAGAGAAAGTGTTGGGCGACACTCAGAGCTTATCCATCCACTGGTCACCAGCACCTCCCCTGCCCTTTCTCCCACCCTCTGATGCTCCCAGTCTTAACAATAATAATAATTACAACACCAGGTGCTCGTCCTGCGTTTTCCATTTCTTAACTCTTTTACTTTTCACAACGACCCAATGGGACAGGTACTGTTACTTCCACCTCCGTTTTGCAGATGAGGAAACAGGTGCACAGAGAGGGTGGGTGACTTGCCCAAGGACCCAGAGCCAGCTGTACATCACTGTCTTTCCAGGCGCCTGGTCATCACTGGTCCACCCCGCTGGGCTGGGCAGCCTGACGTAATGTCTCTCCCCTCTGTGGTCCTCACCTGTG